TGAAGTAGACAATAGAACAATAAAATAAAATAAAATAACAAAATAAAATAAGCATGTATACACATAAAATCAACACTCTACGTGGTGTCAAAAGCCAAAGAGAAGAGGTGGGTTTTAAGACGAGATTTAAAAAGAGACAGTGAGGAGGCTTGTCTGATGTGCAGCGGCAGTTCGTTCCAAAGTTTTGGATTTTTTTTTCGATCCCCTCTGAGCTTAAGCCTCGCTTTAGGCACTGTCAGGAGCAGCTGGTCAGCTGACCTGAGAGATCGGCTGGGAGTGTAGGGGTGCAGCAGCTCTTTCTCTATTATTCAAATTGTGTCCATTGATTGATTGACAGGTGTCCAAAGGAGATGTCCCCCCATGTTGCCACGATAACGCAGCTGTGTCTTAAGTTCATGACCTTTGACCCTAACTACAATTATGATGACGATGAGGAGGAGGAAGAAGATAGCATGGATATAGAGGACGGGCTTGATGAAGGTCTGTTTATCTTTTACAGCAGTATTTACATCCTCTTTCAGTCAGTTAATACATATTATTATTATTATTATTATTATTATTCCTCCCTGCAGATGCTGCATTACTAAAACTTTAAAATAATAAATGTTAAACTTATTGAAGCTTTTAGTTTAAGCACCGTGGTTTGTTGTAGATCGACAGATCGCTTTAATGGCTGATGTCTTTCTACAAGAACCCATAATTCCTTGTTTGGCTTGTGTTTTCATTCAGATTGAGTTAGAACTGCAACCATTAGTTAAATAATTCATTAGTTCGGCAACTATTATAATTGATTCATCATTTTTTAGTCGTTTCTCAAGACAAATAATCTAAATTCTCTGATTTCAGCTTCTCTAATGTGAATATGTTCTGGTTTCTTCAGTCCTCTATGACAGTAAACTAAATACCTTTGGGTTGTGGACAAAAAAGACTTCACCTTGAACTTTGGGAAACACTATTCACCATTTTCTTACATTTTATGGACCGAACAACTAATAGATTAATTGAGAAGCTGATCGACAGATAAATCAATAATAAAAATATTGGTTAGTTGTAGCTCTAGATTGATTGACTGAGTCCTGCTCTTTGACATCAGGAAACACACTGAACATTTATTGCAATTAGATCTTTCTATCTTTATTTATATTTAAAAATTCTTTGATTTTTTTGTGATTCTTATGCACCAAAGCAAATTCCTTGTTTGTGTAAACTTACTTGGCAATAAACCCGATTCTGATTGTAATCAAAATAAAATTCAAGGTGTGTTAGCCTCCTTTGTTTGTACGACTTCACAGATGAATTCAACCACTTTTTGTGTACAATTAGAACAGTTGTTCTCAACCTATTTGGTATCAAGGACCCTCAAATTGATGCACATCAGGCAGCGAACCCGTATTTGGTGTAAGGTGTAGTCTCAGGGATCTTCGTCTGATAAGATTTAGTTATTCTATAACAGTTTATACTGTAGATTAAAGAGTGTGAAACCTTTGAACAGAATAGTCATTCTTATACATTCTCTCATTGGGCTAACTACTAGTCAATGGAATTAAAATAACTGCGGATCCCCTACGGTCTTTAGGGGTCTCCAGACTCTATGTTGTTGAGTGAGAGTAAAGCTTTGCTGAAGTTCATCTTCTTCCAGAGTCAGACGATGAGTACAGCGACGACGACGACATGAGCTGGAAGGTGCGGCGCTCCTCCATCAAGTGTCTGGAGGCTTTGATCAGCACGAGGCGGGACCTTCTCCTCTCCTTCTACTCCTCCGTCTGCCCCGCTCTACTGGCCCGGTTCAAGGAGCGCGAGGAGAACGTGAGGGCCGACGTCTTCGCTGCCTTTTCAACGCTACTGAGGCAAACGCGAGGGGGGTCGAGTCACCACGGCCTCATCACGGCTGGTTCAGACTCAAGGCTGAGCCGGGAGGAGGAGCCGGCAGTCGCCTTGCTGAAGAAACAGGTACAGAGTCTGTAAAGTGACAGTGTGTCAAAGATGAGTTTATGAAAGGGAGAAGAGGATGGTGGGACGGATGAAAGCTTAAGTTGTTCACTGTTAATAATTTTAAACTTGTTTTAATTTGCTGCCTTACAAATGTGAGTTAGCTGAAAATGTAGTTTAAGTTTAATAAGCTTATGATGTTAAGTTGAACCAACAACTGTTTGGTCACACTGACAAACATTAAAAACACATTTGAAGAGTCAGTTCTTCATTTCACACAAAGAAGTATATATGTGGATCATGATCTTTTAGAAACTTAATTTAGTTGAGTTGATTGATTGAACTGTACATTCATTCAACAAGTCAGAAGAACTCATGTTTATAAAATGTGATGTGTGTGTCTGTCCAGGTGCCGGTGATCGTGAAGGCTCTCCACAGACAGCTGAAGGAGAAGAGCATTAAATCTCGACAGGGCTGCTTCTGTCTCCTCACTGAACTGGCTCACACTGTAACTGGAGCCCTGGAGCAACATATACCTGCTCTAATACCTGGTACACACACACACACACACACACACACACACACACACACTCCTCCAAACATCTGTTTATCTTCTCCCTCAGCTGCTTCATTTTCCCTTCCTTGCTCCCTCTTTCCTCCTCCTTCCTCCAGGCATTGTCTTCTCCCTGACAGACAAGTCCACCTCCTCCACAATGAGGATCGATGCCCTCTCCTTCTTCCACGTCCTCCTCCTCTCCCACCCTCCTCAAGCCTTTCAGCCACACATGCAGGTCCTTTAAACCTCGTTTACAGCTCTGCTTCTGGATATTTGCGCCGTGATGTGAAATATAAATGTACGACAGCAGACCTACAGCAGCGGGAAGATTTCGGCTATTTCGATATAGTTATTCCACCGTGTCGGATTTGGTTGGATTCCCCTTGAAATCGATGAAATGAGGTGGTAGAAACACCACTACTGTTGTCCACAGGGTTCCTGGTTGGTACTTAAAGTAAAAGTATTAATACCACAGTGTAAAAATTGTCTGTTGACGAGTAAATGTTTCAAAATCTTACTTAAGTAAAAGTACAAAAGCATCAAAATATACTTAAAGTACTAAAAGTAAAAGTACTCATTATGCAGAATGACCCATTTCAGAATAAAATATATTATTTCACTGGATTCTAATTATTAACGAACGTGTTCGTGAAGCTGATTTGAATCGCTTTATATACTGCCGGGCAGCTTAATCAATAATAATACATCATCATTTATGAGTTAAGTTATAAAAATGAGCTGATGAAGACTTCTGTTGGACCCTGCAGGTGCTGCTGCCTCCGGTGGTGGCGTGTGTGGAAGACAGTTTCTATAAAATCACCTCAGAGGCTCTGCTGGTCGCCCAGCAGCTGGTCAGAGTGATGAGGCCGCAGGGACAGACCGCCACAGCGGGAGGATTCGACCCAAAACCATTCGTCAGAGAGGTATGATGAGTCAGGGAGGACGGGAGCTGCTTCCTTAACTTTACAGTGAAGTACATCTTGAGACACATATATGATCCATCATAAAATGTGTGTTTGTCTCCAAGGTGTTTTCTGTAACCCTGAAGAGGCTGAAAGCAACAGACATCGACCAGGAAGTGAAAGAGAGGGCTATTTCTTGTATGGGTCACATGGTGTGTCACCTTGGCGACCACCTGCGGGCGGAGCTGCAGGGTGTATTAACGATATTCCTGGAGAGGTTAAAGAATGAGATCACAAGACTGACAGCAGTTCGGACCATCGCCCTCATCTCTGCTTCTCCATTAAAGGTTCAGTTTGTTTCAGAAGACACACGCTTTTATTTATTTTACAAAATAACAACTTCCTCTCTCTGTCTTTTTCTTGTCTCCGTCTCGTCCAGATCGACTTGTCGTCCATCCTGCCCGAAGCTCTGTCTGTGCTGGGTTCGTTCTTGAGGAAGAACCAGCGGGTGCTGAAGCTCGGCACGCTGGCGTGTCTGACCACACTGGTCACGCATCACGCTGCCACCATCAAACCCGCAGCACTGGAGCCCGTGCTCAGTGAACTTCCTGCTCTGGTGGATGAGAGCGACATGCACGTGTCACAGGTACTGGATTTAACAGAAATACATGTTAATCATGCTCCTTACATTTTGTACAGTGTTGAATTTATATATTTTTCTTGACTTCAAGGTGAGCTTGTCGAGTGTAGTCGGGATCATTTACAGGGGTGATTAAAAAATATGGATACATGCATATTTTTGTGAAACAAAACAAAGGTGTCGCTTATAAAAACGACTCATTCTAAGGTAACAAAAACACAACGATTGTTATATTCAGGTGATTATACATTCAGGAAAACATACTTATGAATATTATATTACATTTCTGCCAATAGATCCTCCTCAGTGTTACACACCTGACCTTTACCCTCCAGTCATGTTGACCTCTAAGTCAACTTTCCATGTCACAGGTGTTCTATAACAGTATAGATATTGTTATATAATGTTTAAATATCCTCTTTAGGTATCCGTCACCTTGCTGACCTGCATGGCCAAAGCCTGCCCCTCCTCTCTGGCTAAGATCAGCTCCTCCGTGCTGCCGGGAGTCTTCAGACTCGTCCATTCACCACTGCTGCAGGGTGGAGCGCTGGCAGCCATACTGGACTTCCTGCAGGCACTGGTGCTGTCCAAAACCAGTAACCTGGGCTACAGGTAACAGGGTTGGTTGTGGGTGAGCTATACGATGGCTCTGTCTAGGCCCAAATGTCCCCACAACTATATAAAACTAGGAAAAGTGTTAGTTTCAGGTGGGAAAGCTGTTGAGGGTTGAGGATAATTGTTCAGGGTTTGTCTGTGATGTTTTTGATGACCCTCGTGGGCTTTTAATGCTGATATGAATCTGAAGTGTGTGGATAAATTGATAAAGAGCTGCTCACAAATTGACCCTAAAAGGGACATTTTATAGATTTTACTCATAAAGATCAGTTCAGTTAGTCACTGCTAGGTTGGGTTAGTCACTAATGGGCTGAGTGATGATGTGACAGGGATTCTCCTTGCAATGGTCCAATAAAGGAATTTGAAAACTAACTCTCCTCTTCCCCTCCTCTCTCCTCCTCCTCTCAGTCAGTTGCTGAAGTCTCTCACAGATCCGTTTCACAGCTCTCAGTCCTCAGTGGACGGCACCGTCATCCACAGACAGTCGTACCACTCGGTGGCTCGCTGTGTGGCTGCTCTGTCCTCCGCCTGCCCCAAAGAAACACCGGGCACTGTCGCCGGCCTCCTGCAGGAGGTGTGTTAGTGGTTGTTTTTACACTAGTAATGTACGAGACCTCCTTCTGTCTCAGTGTCAATGTATCTCCTCTCGTCTGCTCAGATTAAGAGTCCTGGTTCTCCAGAGTCTGCTCGAGTCCTCGCTCTGTTGTGTCTGGGGGAGGTGGGGAGGACCGGCAGCCTGGGAGGAAGCAAGGAGGTGCAGGGAGTCATCCTGGAGGCCATCGCCTCAACCAATGAAGAGGTAACACCTGCATGTTTCTCAGGCTGCAAATTATAATAATTTTAATTTTATTTTTTATCATTTATCAGGTCAGTTATTTGTAAAAGACATAAAAGTGGTGTTTGGTAGCTCTCCTGGTTGAGTGTGTGCCTATGTGAAGAATGTGGATCCAGAAGGATGCTGAAACAACTGCAGCCAATAGGACCTCCTCTCAGACCACACAAATACAAAGACTGCACAGCGTTCACACAGATAGGAGAGACAGACAACACCACAGCACACACACAAACTAGAGACAGAAGGGAAGAAGAGAAAGCTCCTCTGGGGACGATGATCCTGATCCAAAATTCTGCAGGAGGCACCAACAGCCTGGAGAAAGAAGTTTCCAGATGTTTCCCTGATGGTCCAGCAGAGAGGAGCCTGAGTGAAAGAGAGAAGACGAAAGCAGCTAGAAACACACACTCTACGTATCCAGCTATTCCTGTATACAGTTTTCAACCTTCTTCAACAAATAGGAACTTAATTTCCTGACGAACGCGACAGGCTTCACACTGCATGTGGAAATACAAGTTTCACTTAAAGTTGGTTTGTTGAAAATTATTTGTGCTTCCTGTACTGCATTTAAACTAAATCTAAACATTGTTGTTGACAGTAAAGGCAGACAGGAAACAGAGTGAGGTGGTTGGGAGATAGGGGAAGAAATAAAACTGTCCTGTAATGCTTTATGTATTGTAGGCATGTTGACAGAGCAAAGGTTGAAAATGGATAGATGGATCCTCTGAAGCTTCACAGCTACAGTGACAGCATGGTTGTACTGTACAAATATAAATCAGTGGTTTTTAAAAAGAGGAAGTATCTTCAGCTAAACCTTTTTTTAGGATGATTGAAGGTGAAAAAAGAACTTCACACTTATATTAATAGTGTCTAGTTTGTGGTTCCAGGTGAAGACGGCAGCGTCCTGCGCTTTAGGCAGCATGGCGGTCGGCAGCCTGAACGACTACCTGCCCTTCCTGCTGAAGGAGATCTCCTCACAGCCGCGCAGACAATACCTGCTCCTACACTCACTCAAAGAGGTCATCAGGTGTGCGTCTGTTTTTATTTCAGTGTTAGCTTTTCTTTTTCTCTTCACGTCTTTCTGAATTGATTCTTTTATGACGCTGCTCCAGGGAACGTCACACTGTGGCGCCCTCAAGTGGCAGCGAAAGAAAGATTTTAAACTTTATAGAATGTTATTAAACATGAACATAGAGGAATCAAATCATGTAACTTTCACGTTTGGTTTGTACAACAGTGGTGGAAGAAGAATGAGAGAGAGGGATAATTTAGGCTGGTAACAGATGTATTTTCTCATAAAACTCATGCAGCTTTAACCAGATTCCATTCAAAGTTCGGTCGAGCTTTTCTCCAACTACTCTTCCTCTCCTGTCCTCTTGCTGAATACCTTCTCTCTCTCTCTCTCTCTCTCTCTCTCTGACCAGTGCCTGTCCAGCCTCTAGTCTCTCGCCCCATGTGGAGTCTATCTGGACCTTGCTGTTTCAGAACTGCGAGTGTCAGGAGGAGGGGACCAGAAACCTGGTGGCCGAATGTCTGGGAAAACTGACTCTAGTCAACGCTGCCCAACTATTACCCAGACTTAAACAGCAACTTAAAGCTGGTACGATGTGTGAGGAGGGAAATGTGTTTGTTTGGGAAGTTTCACTGCTATAACGGCTGCAGGATGGAAGATATTTGTGATGACAGAAAGAGGTATTTTGCTCTGGGCCAGATTGTTGTGGAGTTTAAGATGGTTTGTAAACTGTTTTTTAAGACAATAATGAACTTTTAAAGGTCCAATGTATAACATTTAGGAGGATCTATTGTCAGAAATTACAATAGGTATGTTTTCATTAGTGTATAATCACCTGTTTTTATCTGAATGAATGAATGTCTAATGCTGTGATGAAGTTATTGTTGCTGCCCCTGGGAGACCACATTGTTACGTTAAAGGGTAATTTATAAAATAAAAACTCTTCATCCTGCCCCCCCCCCAGGCTCTCCTCTGGCTCGAAGCACAGTGGTCACCGCTATCAAGTTCACTATTGTTGACCAACCTGCTCCCATAGATTCACTGCTGAAGGACTGCATCGGTAAGACACACAGGCACAAACCAAACACTAAGTCCCAATCCTGAACTCTCCACTGGCAATGATTTCACCTCTGTTTGCCAGGTGACTTCCTGAAGACACTGCAGGATAAGGACATCAACGTGCGCCGTGTCGCTTTGGTGATGTTTAACTCTGCAGCTCACAACAAACCATCCCTCATTCGTGGTCTCCTAGCAACAGTGCTGCCTCACCTGTATAAGGAGACCCAGATCAGGAAGGACCTCATCAGAGAAGTGTGTTCAGGAGGCTGAGAACGTTTGTGTCTGATGCTTTTCAAAGCTCTCTGTGTGCATGTGTAATTCTGTATGTGCACTGCAGGTGGAGATGGGTCCATTCAAACACACTGTGGATGATGGGTTGGACGTGCGTAAAGCGGCGTTCGAGTGTATGTACACTCTGCTGGACAGCTGCCTGGAGGGGTTGGACGTCCTGCAGTTCCTCGATCATGTAGAGGAAGGACTCAAAGATCACTATGATATCAGGGTGAGTAGATAGGTCACACAACGACAACTCAGTGGACTGAAACACATTTACTGCCTGCTCACACACACAGGGGCTTAAAAGGTCTAAAATCTAAAAAGATTTTCCTTCATAATCTTTTTATAACGACCTTAAAAAGGTCTTAAAAAGGAAACCTGCAGAAAGCCTGTAATTGACCCTCAATCAATCAATAAACTGAGGTTCACCTGCTGAAAATCTCAAAACTAATGAACAACATTAAGACATAAAGCATGTGTTAACAACTACATTATGAATTATTCATCCTAAATTTGTTCAGAAAATGATTTGGTTGAGACTTTAGGAGAAAAACTAATGAAAGCCCAGTATGTGCAGTATTGATCCAGTCGGTTGTTGGAGGAGTTCATCAAACTGTCAATAAAAGACTGTATGGATGTTCATTCAAGCCTCTGCAGTGGGCGGCTGTAGAGCAGACAGTGCACAAGCAGCAGTTGTTTAATTGTTGTGTAATTTATTGTGTTTTTGTGTGTGTGTGTGCACTGTAGATGCTCACTTTCCTGATGTTAGCCAGACTGGCGTCTCTGTGTCCTGCTGCCGTTCTCCAAAGACTGGACAGACTGATAGAACCGCTGAAGGCCACCTGCACTACCAAGGTACTGACACTCTTAAAGTCAATAATTCACGTTAGAGTTGATATAAATGCTATAAGTATGGCACTGTGTGGACAGCAGTCGACCAGCAGACTTTGCAAACACAATTCATCAGATGGGTTTTAAATAAAGACTTTATTGGCTCTCTGTTTTTGAAAAGGTGAGCAAAAAAACTAGGGCGACTTTGACTTTCAGCTCAACATTTCACCTTCAGATAGCCAAATCAATTTATGGGGGGATTTTTTCAAACAGTTAGTTCATCAAGTCACTGTACAAGGGGCAGTGAAAAGAAAATGAAATTCCTCCTCAATAACACAATCACAGAAAACATATAACTCTTCAGGGATACTTTTACATCTGCCCACCTCAACTTCCAGTGGAAAGTTACCAGTTCTTAACTGTGAAAACAATGTCATTATACATGCAACCTGTACTTATTTTGCATTTTGGACAAGTTGGAGAAGCCAACTTGTATTGTAGTATATATTGTAGTACATATTGTAGTATATATTGTAGTATATAAGCGTGCGATGACACTGAAATGAATCCCGACCCCGTAGGTGAAGGCCGGCTCTGTGAAGCAGGAGTTTGAGAAGCAGGAGGAGTTGCGGCGCTCTGCCATGCGCGCCGTCGCCGCCCTGCTGGCCGTGCCCGAGGTGGAGAAGAGTCCCAGCATGGCCGACTTCGCCAACCAGATCAGAACCAACGCTGACATGGCGTCCATCTACCAGAGCGTCCAGGGAGGAGAGGGAGGGAGCTTTGGACCCGCAGAGAGCATGGACATGAGCTAGACACCGGATGTTTGATTATGATGGGTTTTTTATAGACACGGTTTAGAAACAGTAGATAAAAACACTCTTGTTAGACATTTCCTCTCTGGCATAAACATCCATTTAATGATTAACATGGTCAACTTACTCACAGTTTCTTTTTGTGTTTAGTAAGATTTCGGATTTGATTAAATTCACATGAAATAAAGTGGAAGCAAAACTGTGAACATTTCAGTGCAGTTTGTGTCTGATGGATTTCTCTTTCAAAATTTAACAACTGATCTGTTGGGCCATTAAGTTTAAATCATCACGTAATATCTGACGTGTTTGTCTTTCCATCCAGTGTCAACAGGAACATAACATCACCACAAACGTCTTCATATTTCACTCAGGAAGGAAATGTGGTCAGTGAGTTGAAACAACTTGTCAGCAGGACAGAAAACCACACGCAGTAACACAAGTTATTTTAAGAGCGTGGCACAGCGAGTGATATTAATCTCTGTGAAAAACCTTTTAAAAGAGCAAAGTTTTTCCACTTGGACAGCGATTTCTAACATTGATAGACTGAAGTTTTAAAAATGCCTCCATTTGAGTTTAAAATCGAAGTAAGAATTGAGCATAATTCTGCACAAAAATCTGTTTTTTGACTTTTTGACAAAAGTTACACAGAAAAATGAGAATATGATGACAGATTAAAGGCAAAACACAACATTTATCTGTTTTTTATACATTATATTTAGCACTGCAGAGAGAGATCTACAATAAAACATAATATACAAACAGGTGTGAGTTATAACAATGGCACATAAGCAATATTATGAGTGAAAAAGTAAAGTTTATAATGAAATGGGATCCTACAAATATAAAAAAAATATTTTGTAATAAATTTTACTTTTTTGTATTTCATAAGTCAACATACGATACGTCTCATATCTCTGCTTCAGTGTTTGAAGCCCAGACCATAATACCTCATGAGAATGGATAAAAATACAACAACATACACAGGAATGAAGGCAAAAAGAAAGTGTGACTGTGGTCCTTTATACAGATACAGTTAAAAATTGGGGTAATTGGGGTTTAAGGCCTAGGGGACGCAGATATATTATGGATGTAGGATTTAGGTTAGGCACAGGGGCCCTGGAGAGAATGCTGGATGTCACTAATTCAGAAAAATTATGAGATAATAAATATAAATCTTTTAATTTGAAAGTGAATGCAATACACGTACCTGGTGTACCTATAGTTTATTTTTTATGCATTCATTTTTATTTGCCTATAACTAAGCACCTCTTCAGGGGCTCTTTTCAGCCTCTGTCTAAAACGATCCGTTTTAGCTCCTGTCTCTTTAAGGCCCCCCTTCCGAAAAGCCCAGTCTGCCCTGATTGGTCAGCATTATGACGCTCGATGACCCTTTCTCGTTTGCTCGCTCGCTCGATTTTGGCGGAGCTCCGTTAAGGCCTCCGCACACCAACCCGATTATCGGCCGTCGGGTTGGTGTGCGGAGGCCTTTAGACAACAAGGAAGTAAGCTGCGGTGGATGGCAAGTTTGATGACGTCAGAAAAGGGGAAACGTCAGAAATGGGCAAAAAAATCTGAATTGAGTGTTTTATCTCCAGTATTTTGACCGAGGCAGCCCACAAAAACATCACTGAGTCCACTTATTTCACACTTTGCCTGCTGATAGGCCCTCCAGATTCCCAAATGTACATAATCAAACGATTAAAAAGTTGTTTTTGCAGAATATGTCCCCGTTATTACTAATATTATAATATGACAGTGTCCAACAGGGGGGCGCTTGCTATGCGCGCAGAGGAGTGGGAAGGACCGTTGGGAATTCAAGATGGAGGCGAGTTAGTGAAAGTAATTATCAGTAAAAGTTTATAAAGTTATATTATGTGAAGTTACGCAGCAAAGGACCAAGTTTACCGTGTTTTTTTTTATTTGAATTAGATTAATGCAAGATATTAACTGACCAAGGGTTAACTTAACGCTAGTTTAATTAGCTATAGATCTTTTCATGGACTGAAGGGAAATTTAACGGGCCCCTGATGAAACGAAAACTATTTACTTAACTAAACTAAATCATGCTGATTTGACTAAACTTGATTAAAATTTATTTTAAAAAAAAACGTTTAAAAGCGTTATTTTCTTTTGCTTTGGTATTTCAATGTTATTCTCTGAACAAAGAGACAGTTTTATTTTATTATTTTATGGCTTTTATTAACCTAAAATTTTAATTAATTAATTAAAAAATTGCCTTTTAACTGTTTTACCAAGCTACTTTAAGTCAAGTGTGTTCAGTGTATTAATACCATCAGACAGGATGTCATTTGTAGCTTACCCCTTTAGTAGCAAGTTTAATATCATTTACATGAGGCCCTTGTCAGAGGAAATTACTCAAATGTGCGTGCAGACGAGGTAGAGCAGTGTATGACAGTCGTGTGGCCAACACAAAGATAAATTCTGTAGAGATATAGCTGTGGTTTCGAGAGGAAGCCTAAGCAAACTTTTCCATCACAACACAAACAAGTCATACAGCAAGACAAGTGCACAGCCAGGAGAAAAGTGATGATGATTCATTACACAAGAACTTAAAGCAACAATTTATTAATAATCAATTGCATATCAACAGAGAAGGTAAAGGCAAAGAACACTGACTGCTGAGTAGCTGGTTTTTAGGATGAGTACATCGGCTTTGTCAGTGTTGTTTTGGAAGTTGAAGATGGAGCAGTGCGGTCGTAGAGTCGTGCAAGGTAGAGACGTATCAGAGACGTAAATCGCAGCGCAGCTCCTGTCTGATGTTTGGGTTTGTTCCTGTATCTCCGTACCTGTGGAAGAATGTAAAATATATAGTCTCAGTATGTAATAGTAACAATAAACAGTCATAATTTTAGCAAAGTAAACCAAAAAAGTTTTGACGGTGTTGACCTGACCCTGCAGTCCAATAACTCTACTGGAACCCACTCTCTACCAGCAAGTATGTAAAATGTAATTTAATATGTCTGAACCTGACCTGACTCGCTTATGGCAAGACCCACTGTTACGTGTATAGATTTGTGTCTCTCTCTCTCTCTCTCTCTCTCTCTCTTTCTCCTCCCCAGAGACGGAGGACACCTTTGAAAAGCCTCTCTTGTTTTGCTCTCTCTCTCTGACTTTGCTTT